ATAACATTTCTCATCACTTTTAGATTTATAAAATTTAAAAGCAACAGAAAACTCATAATTCATCAGTAACCATGACTAAATTTATCAAAGTTCGTTTAATCTAAATAAAATATTAATTTTTGGCAATATTTACTTTTTTTAAATTTAGAAAAGTTTATAGAAAATTTTGGATCTTAAGCTTTATCTTCTAAAATCTTAGGTAATTTTAGAAAATCAAATTAAAAGATAAGCAAAAAGCAAAATTACGTATAGCAAATTACATATTAAATATTCATATCTGTAGGAGCAGATTAGAAATAAGAGTATGTAATTTGGATAGAGGCACTATCAACTTAATTTTGAATATAAAGAAGTAGTCACTCGGCTATCATTTGATATCGAAAATAATTATTATCAGGTAGAACTGTTAAATTTTTGAAAACAGACAAGTCTAGATTATCTGCAAAACGACCTTCAGAATAAATTAATACTCTTTGAATATATGTCTTGAGAGAATCAATCATTATTAGAAATTGGGAGCATAAGAATGAGATTCTATTTTTATTGATTAATTATTTTATGTTTATCATTCTTAAGATTCTAATTTATTTAATTTTTTATACATCTATCCTCCTAAATCTTTTTATGTATCTTAATTAATTTAAATTTTTCTTCTTTTTATAATTTAAGCTATTATATACATAAATACAATTTACAATTATTTCAAACTGAATTTAAATTTAATAGCTTCATAATCATTTATATAATAAAAATTGAATATTTATTCTAAATAATCAGAAACAATTAAAATTATTTAGTTTTATATACAATATATATTGCATTTTTGATTATATTATAGACCCTCAATTGAATTTAGTCCATTTCTCAATTAGCGAATTGCTTTGAACAAAATTTAAAATATTTTTCTATTTCTATTTGAAATAGGAAGATATAAATTATTCATCTAGAATTTTGATTAAGTATTTGAACAAAAGCTAATTTATAATAATTATGATTAATACTACTATGGATTATTTTTATCAGTGATTAATTCTTCTTCATCTTGAGTATTGGAAATACCTATTTCAATTATAATTCCATATTATTCAGGTAGAAACTGAGTCTCATATTTATGATGAATATCTCTATTTTCTTGTGACTCTTAGTTTTTAAAATTGTTTGTTTGATCTTATTGATATTATTAATCATATTGCTCTTATAGATTGATTTATTATTCAGAATCATGGTTTAATTCATTTGATTCATGATAATTAGGTTTCTGCTATTCTTGATTATTTTTAGATAGATCATTATTTTTTAATTGAAGACCTGTTTTTGATGAAACATAACGGTTTAATTGGTTATAATTTTGAGGTTGATTAATTGAATCATAAATTTGGTATTGATTTTATAATTGGTGAACCAGACTTTCTGATAGAATATGAGGATCATATAATTTAGAAACTTAATCTATTAGTTTTTCCTATTTATTATATATTGTCTCATGTTATTTGAATGGGGATTCTACTGAATATATCTTATTATATTACATTTATTTAGTATATTAAAAATAAAGAGAATAAATTCTAAGTTAAAGTATTAAATATTAAAAT